TTGGTGCTAATGCCAACAGGAAGTTTTTGGACTAACCATTTGGGAGATGAAGTCCATTCTACTTTACTGATAAGACATGGGAGATTTCTGATATTGAAGAACCAAGATTATCTATGTAACCTCCTCTATGCTGTTCTAATATTGCTCTGTATTTATCAGTGGCGTACCCTACTGTAGCTAATGCCCCTGGCCTAATGGTTACCAATAGGAGTGAGTTTCCCTTAAATCAGTTGGGAACCTACCTCTAGTCCATCGAGAAGCAGCACACCATTCCACTGGTCCTGCAGCATGACGGGGAGGGATCAGATGGTGGTTGCATAACCTCCACTGTCCTCTGCTCATTCCAGCCCCAGTTCTCTGGTCTAGAGAGTGGTGTGCATGATATTCTTTATCCTCAGGTCTGCACTTTAGGTTTACAGCACATGTGGGCATGCATTCATTCCTTCCAACGCTAGTAGCTTCACTCTTACCTAGTTACGCCTAGAGGTTTTCCTCATCTATAAATGTGATTTAAAATCTAAATCATGAACATGCTTTTATTTAGTAAAAGAAAGGTGTGTGTGAAAAAAAAATTTTTTTTGAAATGAAACCATTCCTAAAGGTAACCTTCAGTTGAATACCAGATTGGCTCACAAAATAAACAATATCACCTATGAGGACTGTAATCAATCCTTTTTTTAAAAAACAATCTACGTAAGATCAAATATAGTCAACATTTACTCTAAAGAAAAGATGATATGGGGAGGGGACGAGAAGAAAGGTTAGTGGAAGTAGAAGAACCAGAATAAAAATAATGAGAATTTAGACACAATGTAGAAAATTAAGCCAATGTCACTGGGCATTATGTTGTGGTTGTTGTTGTTGTTAAGTGCCATCCAGTCGGTACCAACTCATAGCGACCTTATGCAAAGCAGAACGAAACACTGCCAGATCCTGGGCCAACCTCACTATCATTGCCACGCTTGAGTACACGGCTGCTGCCACTTTATCAATCCATTTCACTGGGGGTCTTCCTCTTTTTCTCTGACCCTCACCTTACCAAACATGATATCCTTCTCCAGCAACTGGTCCCTCCTGACAATATGTCCAAACTATGAGAGACGAAGTTTGGCCACCTTGGCCTCCAAGGAGCACTCTGGCTACACTTCTTATAAAACAGATCTGTTGGTTCTTTGGCAGCCCATGGCACTTTCAATATTCTCCTCCAACGCCACAACTCAAAAGCATCAATTCTTCTACAGTCTTCCTTATTCACTGTCCAGCTTTCACATGCATATGAGGTTATTGAAA